CGCAGCGTCCTTGCAGGAGTACATGGACCCCATGAACGAGTACAACGCCCTCAACGAGGCCAAGCAGATGATCGCCATCGCGGACGAGAACCAGAACCAGCACCTGGAGCCCGAGGAGGTGCTCAAGTACAGCGAGTTCTTCACGGGCAGCAAGCTGGTGGACTACGCCCGCAGCGTGCACGAGGAGTTCTGAGCGGCCCGGCCGCCCGCCCGCTCTCTATCAACCCAAAGTAGAAACCAGGAAAACCTCAGGCGTTGAAATCAGGAAAAATTTTATCTTTCAGTTTTTCCTGGGGGCTGCGCGGCCGCGGGCGGTGACCTGCTCCGTGGGGATCAGCGCGGCCAGAGCTGCCTCCGTCCCCAAGAGCCACGGACCTGCGGCCAGAGCCACTCATTATTTAAAGTGTAGTCTCTCTTCCTTCCAGCTTCATTTTTGGGGGGACAAAACGCATAAACGGGAACTTGGAATATCTGTGGCCAGGTGGCTTCCCTTGAGCTTTGAGGTGGGGGTTGGTTAGAACCCTGGGTTTGAGTGGGGCGTCTTGTGCAGGAACCAGGACAGGATGGGGGCCATGCCAGGGAGAGGGAGGCAGGTCTGGGAACCGCCCTTCAGGGGCCAGGAGGAAATGGGAGTCCAGGTTGTGGGGACATCTAAGGCTGAGCCCTGGGCTCTGCTTTAGGGGAGGGGGGGCCTTGCAGGCCGCTAAGGGCCACCTTGTCGTCTGCAGTCCACCCTGTGGCACTAGCTGTCCAGACCCTGCTAGGGTCAGCGTGCCCCGTGCTCTGGCTGGTGTGTGTGGGGGGATCAGGCTCTGAGGCTGTGACTGCTGGCCCCCGACCCCACACACCTGGCATGTGGGCGCCCCCAGCACCCCATCCACCGCGGGCCCCTCATGGCTGTGGTACCTCAGGGCGCAGCTTTCTGGCCAGCTGGGTGGCTTGGCCTGTGAAGGTTCCACTTCAGAGCAGAGGGCGCCGAGCAGCCATGTGACCAGCCCTTGCCACGGGGCCCACTTCCGAGCAGCTGGGGCTGGGCTGCCACCGAGGAATCGGCGAGTTGACACCTGGGTTTGCAGACAACAAAGCAGAAGTTGTTTTCCGATCTGACGGGAGCTGGAGCTCGTGGTGGAGGGAAGGAGGTGGTGGTGGGGGAGCTCCTGTGGAGGGAGGTGGGGGGCCAGGCCCAGGTGGGTCAGGGGGAGCAGGTGTGAGCACCCGGTCCGCTGCACCCCCGGGCCGGAGGCTGGGCCTGCAGTGACGGCCGCTGTCCGTGCCCACGGGTCACCGGTGAGCGGACGCCCCACACATGGGCCAGGCGTGGGGACCTCAGGCGACAGACCCTCAGGCAGGGCCCCATGCAGGCCCCTGGGAAGGAGAGGTGCCGCCCCAGACCCCGAGTCACCGCAGCCTCGGAGGCCACGGTTTTCTGTATTTGGCAAGAAAAAGACGTTTTCACCGTCCCAGGAGATGGGGCACGCGCACACGCGCACACTCACCAGGCTGCCCTCTCCCGTGGGGACCGTCTCCCTCAGAGGCTCCGGAGGGCTGAGCCTGCGTGGCCGCCGTGGCCTGGGGACTTTCCCGCAGGTGGGCCGGGAACTGCGTCTACCTGAGCTGCCGGCAGGAGGGACTTTCCGGGCCTCGTCCTGTGGGAGGCTCCTCTCTGGGAAACTCCTTAAATTAGCTGTTGAGTAGGTAAGCCTGGGCCATGGCACGACTTAAAAGGTACGAAAACAACCAGCCGTGCCGCCCCAGCTGCCGGCGCCCAGCGATGCAAGACCTGTGTGCGTGTGCACACGTGTGCGTGGTGCGTGCACGTGTGCATGAATGTGTACGTGTGTGCTCACTCCACCTTTACACACCTGGCACCCACCTGTCCTGGGGCTGCCCAGGCCCTGTCTGAGGCCACCACGTTCTCCCGGGACAGTCGGCTGGGCCGGCGTCTTCTCTGTTTGGGGAGCTGGGGCGCGCCCTCGACCAGGGCTCCCGGAGCAGCCACACGCTCTAGCCCGTGGGCCGTGACACGCCACGCACAGGGACACAGCCCACACGTGCTCCCCGGCTGCACCCTGCTGCCCGGAGAGGGTGGGCCCGCTCAGGGCACGGCTGGGTCTGGTCGGCCAGCCCGGGAGCAGGGATGGGGCCTGGATGAGGTGCTTCTGCCCCAGCCTCGTCGGGGCTCCCACACCGGGTGTCAGCCAGGCTGTGCCCTGTGGCGTCCTTGGCAGGCAGGCGGCCACCTGCCACGTCTTCACGTGGCCGGCCGGCCCTCTGTGGCTTTCCTGGAGTCTCTTGCAACAAGGCCGGTTGTGTGGGGCCAGGCCCTACCCTTACAGCCTCCTCTGACCTCAGTCACCTGCAAGTACAGCCACCCTGGGGGTCAGAGCTCCCTGTGGACCTGGGGACCCCAGCCTCTCACACCTCCGGGCCCAGATGCGGCTGCAGCCACACTGCTGGCCACTGCCCGCCGCACTGGCCGAGGACTCCAGCCCTGGAGCCGGGGTCCCTCCCGCAGCCCTGGCTGTGCCTCGGCTCCTGGTGTGCTCGGGGCGCCTTCTCTGAGCGTGAGGTCCGGCATGCTGGGGGGGCTGGTGTGCGGGTGGGTGCAGACCAGACGGCGGGCACCAACCTGCCCTGGGGGGTCGGAGACGGGGGTCCTGGCCAGGCCTGCACGGCGGGAAGGGCTGAGCCCGAGGTACTTGAGGGGCGTCCTCAGTCCCCTCCCCGCCCCCTCCCCGCCCCTCCCCCAGCCTTTATAGCCACATCCTGCAAGGAAAACACACACTCCTGCCCAGCTGCGGAGGCAAAGATGTGTGTGGGCGCTCAGCGGCCCCGGGCACCTCCGTCCGCCCTCCTGCTCCTGGGGCTCGCGCTGGGCTCCGCGGCCAAGCTCACCTGCCCTGGGGACGCCTACCCTCGGGGGAGCAAGTGCTGCCAAGACTGCCCGCCAGGTGAGCAGCCGGCCCTGGGGCGGGGGATGGGGACGGGGGACTTGGAGGACGTGGGGCGGAGGGTGAGGGCCAGGGCCCGAGGCGGAGATGGACACAGGGATGAGCATGTGGGGCAGACACGCAGGAGGCGAAGGGCTGCGGGTGTTGAGGGACCGTGGACTCGGGGTGACAGGGTGGTGAGGGACCTGGGACCAGGCCAGGCCTCGCAAGCCCAACGCCTCCAGGGTTCGGGATGGAGAGCCGCTGCACCCAGACCGAGGACACCAGGTGCAGCAAGTGCGAAAGCGGCCACTACAACGAGGCCACCAACTACGAGCCCTGCAAGCCCTGCACGCAGTGCAACCAGCGTGAGCCCCCCAACCACAGACAGGCGGCCCCGGGCCCCCAGCCACAGCCACAAACCCCAAACCACAGCCGGTGCTCTGCCGGGGGTCCCCGGGCACCTCCCTCCTCCCAGGGGCGGAGACCGAGGGGGGCGGCATGTGCCGGCCACGTGGCCAGGGGGAGTCCTGGAGGCTGGATGAGGTGGGCAGGGAGCCAGGTAGCCACGGGCCTCGCGCCACGTGGCCAGGCCGGACACAGCGTCCAGGGGCCTCGGGGCTGGGGGCCTCAGGGGGGGGGCGGGCCCTGTGT